CGAAAGCCTTATTCTTGCTAGCACTGCTGGATATGCAGCAAAGTAAACCAATGAGGGTGAACATGAAAGAACCTGAGGAGTTGGAACCCATGAAAAAGATAGACGAAATCAGGAGATTCTCAAACAAGGAGCTGAGACTCACTAAAGAATCTATGGGAGCATTGCCGAAATCCAGTGAATACTGTGGACCGATCAAGAAGAAATCGTATGGCTACGTATCCGGGATCATAGGGATCGCGTACAATCCTTTCCTGAGTGAAGACATACGCGATTGCTTCTTCGATTATGAGCAGGCGGTGTTGCTAAGATTCTGGACGTCCAGAATTGTAACGATTAAGAGCCTTAACAATACACAGGCAACATTGGGACTGGTCTTGGAAGAAGAGGTGACTGCACCTTCAGTACCAAAATCCGACAAAAGAGTGGAGTTTGGGTTGGGATTCTCAGATGAATTACTGAGAACGAGCTTGATGACAGTGTGGGAATTGATGAGGCCATCATGGTGTCCTAGTCCCAACGCTGACTCAATATTACGGGCGACACAAGACGTGCAGAGGGAACTGAATGCAGACTGTAATCTGAGTGACCTCAACATCATATATAATGTGATGACAACAGCCTCTAAGAGCAACGGAGAAGATAAAGTGGAGTTGCCTGGCTGGGGACCAGAAGACTGGGTCAAACCTGGTAGCTGTCTGGCGGAAGTCTGTGGACTGGAGGGTCACGTTTGTGGAGGTCTAGACTGTGTGAAAACCCTGGAGAAACAACACAAGCAATTGACAGTATTGTTTGGAAATGTAGTGATGAAAGCTAGAACAGAAACGGAACTGATAGCAGATTGCCATGGAGGAACCGATGTGAATCTAGTGACTGCACTAGGATTCTACAGCATGTTTGGTTCTTTAGAGTCACTATTGAATCTGGAACAGAAACATGAGGTGGTCACAGCCATCAGTGTAGAAGTATTCCCAGGAGTTCTGCAGACTGAACAGAAATACATAGGGAAATGGAGGGAAGCAATCGAGACAGAAATGAACATCAGACACAGTGAGACTTATTGTAGACCATCAGGAGCACGATATTTGGTGGGTTCAACGTTGGCTCCAATGTGCAAGAGCAGATACCCTGTACATTTCGTGGCTGTGGACGTGAAGAGTACAAGAACGATCGTGGATCAAGCCTTCTCAGTGCCAAAGTGTGTGAGATTGGCGAGAATGTCTGAAAAGTCTTACGAGTTACTATTTAAGATGTTCTCAGCAGTTCCAGAGAGAACCAAAGAAGAATTGGAGTCAATACTAGGAAAGAAGTTCATGGGATATGTGAGTGGGAACTTCAGTGACTTTGAGAGACAGAAACAGAGAGGATCAACTGTCACAGATTACAAGGCAGTAGATGAGAATGATGAAGTCCACCGAGTGATGATGGAAGTGGAACCATTGCTGGAAGCTTCGGGAAAACGTAATTGGAGGAGCATCATGTTGACGCATGACGAGTTTCCTTGCCACTGCTTGCTGCAGACCTGGTGGTATCCCAAGCGTAGTAATCTGATGTTGATCTGGGACTCTGGAGAGCTGCTCTCCATGGGTTTACCAGATTCATCACAGCCCGTAACGATAGTGATAGTGGGAGTTATGATGGCGATACGATGGCTGGAAGCTCATGTGAGAGAAAATAACAGACAGGAGGCGCCGACGAGAGAACAGTTGCGGAAATTAGATTGTCTAAAAGATTTAGATCTTTTTGAGACAATGTGCAAAGTTCTAAACATTCCGATGGAAGTGAAGAAGATATGGGCAAGAAAACGATTGATGCCATGGTTCAGAGCTAACATGACTGCATGGTTGTACGAGTATGCGAAAAAGCATATGTCGAAGCACGACAGGGTGTACAGTGAATATCAGCTGGACAATGGAGCAGGAGCTTTCAAGCGAGCTCTCGTGACTCATCGGAATGCAGTGACCACCGCTGTGAAAAGAATTTCCAGGACGAGTGAACGTAGTGGAAATGAGAAGGCAGAGATGCTGAAAGAAGATTTGGAGAGAAACGTGACGTTGTGTCTCCACAACAGCTTCTGCAGGATCAGAGAATCTAACGTGGATCCCCTACCTTGTTGTAAACAGAGGGTGGAAGAGCAGAAGTGTTGGAGGACGGCTTCCAGCAGCGTCAGGATAGCTAACAACGTGTTACAAGATACGGAAACTGAGAGTGCAGAGTCAGTATCACAGGAGGAAGAAATGGAACATTGACGGATGACCGAAAGACAAGATGAAAAAAGAGATGAAATTAGAAGAATTTAGAAGTTTTAGAATTTCTAAACGACAAAAAAAGAAGAAAAACAAAGGAGTGATGAAGAAAAGTTAAAACTCAGAATTGTTTTATGTGTGTGAAAAACTCAAGTGAGAAACCAAGCAACCAAGTTGTAATTGAAAACTGAAACATTAAGTTGAGTTTTGAAATTGTTGCATTTATAGATTTGCATTTTAATTTTAGTTTAAGTGGCTTTAGAGACACTCACTTACTAATTATTTAGGAAGGCTTAAGTGAAGGAGTATATTTAAATATTCCAGCCTGCATGACTGTTTTTAATCAGCTAGGAGAACTGATCACTTTGTGGTGACATGGAAGGCTTGAGTAATCTCTCGAAGAGGGAGATTGTTTCATTGTTCTTTCTAACCACAGAGTTTCTTAGTTTTAGTATTCAGGACAATAACAAGCAAGATTTCCGAAGGGAAAAGCGTAGTAGGATAATTTTAGCTTGTTGGTTGGCAGGACTGTCCTGCAAGCCAACACCTTTTAAATCTAAGAGAAAAAGTTTTACTCGGGACATTGACATTGGAAGTCAGAAAATATGTTTTATCTTAAGTCATGTCCTCAATGTGCAGGTTAATGAGAGAATTTGAAGGCTGTAGTGATGTGGTATGATGCCATTTGTATTCTGCAGTGAGTCGATGTGACGTGGATAAAAGTGGTTTCGTGCATTTTGTAAATTCTGTTCGATGACACTGTGACCATTTTACGAATATTGCGTGATTCAATGAGGACATTGACCGGACTGTCCGGGGAGTGTGTGACATTCGACCAGAATGTGAAAAAGGCAATCTCTGCAGAATTCGAAAATTTTAGCAGCGAGCCTTCCGGATTGGTGATTATTAAGAACTAAGAACGTTATTGGAACGATTGGCCAAACGGTGAGGGCTGAGATATTCTGGTGTTTTAACATTTTATATTTTCGAATTATGACGTCATATTTCTGAGAAGCGTCGGGAACGGCCATTTTGGCTGAAACAAGAAAGAAAAACAGAACAACATTAGCTGCGCTAACAGCAACTACGAAATCGAGATTGGAAAACGACAACGAGTTACAGAGTAACAGAAGAACACTCCGAGTTGCAATTATTGTGCCGCTACAATAGTTCCAAGGCCGTTGCAGACAACGGTGAAGGGTGAAAGACGGCCTTCCGGATTAAGAGGAAATCGGGATTAACAAGCTTGATCCAGCGGATTCATCAATCCGGAGGGATAAAGGAAGTGAAACTTTTATCCTGTTACATAGACTTTTAGCTTCCTGTCATGTCCTGACTTGAATTTAATTGATATCTAGATTCATTTTGATAAGGATGAGAAGCTAGGAGTTGGGGGAAAGGGTTGATCCATCTTCGATGGAGATGATGATTTTTATCTACTGAACAAAAACAATAGTAATATAATAAGTAGTAGCCCTGTTTTTAGGAGTGACCTCGTGGTCTGGGGATACTGAGACCCAGCCATGAGCTCACTGTTTCTGCATGTAATCTAGTTAATTTGAGTGTTTTGACCGAAGCCGAAAGCAGTAACGTTTTTGTCGACCCGATGTTAGAAAGACCACCGAAAAGTACTGGCTTGGTAGAGACGGTGAAAAGCATGCAAAGCTCTGTTTAGACGTTAGCCAGTCGTCTTCAGACTTAGTTTTGTCTTCCGTCGATATGTATCTTCCGGACGAATATTACATAGATGTTTTTATGGCGCTCCTGGGTGTTATTCTTTTTAACATCATGACCGGCAGAACCGTTAACGAGCACTCCGCGCCGAGCGGATGCTCACATTAACGCCCTTATTAGGCCTAAACCGCCGGGGCGGAGCGGTGGTTCGGAGCGCGGAAGCCCTCCGGATTACCGTGAATAGCTTTTTAACTTAGTTAAGACCGAAAATTCACGAACCAGGAAGGGTGGGGGGATCGGCCATTCCCTCGTTCCCTGAGAGGTTCGTGACCAAAAACACTTAAAGATATATATAAAACCAAACAAAAAGTAGTATAGTACCCAAGAAAAACAAAAAACATAAAAAATAACCGAAAAAACCAAAAACAGTAAAAAAGTAAAAAATCAGTAGAAATCATCCCCCCAGACAAGATGTGATCCGACCCCCTCGTTTGTTGTTGATAGATATATTGTTGTTACAGGCATTTATATCAGTCAGGATCGTTACGATCAGTTTTGTAGCCCGTTTGTGAGGCTTGTACTGTAGGGTTATTTGAGCATTTAAGCACGTTAATGCTCAATCGGAAGGGTCAGCTGATTTGCGCTCAATTCGGAAGGGTCTTGGGAGAAGACTGATCCGGCAAGCAGTACAAGGAGCAACAAGAAGAGGCTCAACGACAACAACAATCGACTGTTGGGTATCGTTAACAAGTTTTGTGTCCCTTATTAAAACAATAATAATTCAATAAGTAGTAGTAGCCCTGTTTTTAGGAGTGACCTCGTGGTCTGGGGATACTGAGACCCAGCCATGAGCTCACTATTTCTGTATGTAATTAAGTTAATTTGAGTGTTTTGACCGAAGCCGAAAGCAGTAACGTTTTTTGTCGACCCGATGTTAGAAAGACCACCGAAAGTACTGGCTTGGTAGAGACGGTGAAAAGCATGTAAAGCTCTGTTTAGACGTTAGCCAGTCGTCTTAGGACTTAGTTTTATTTTCCGTCGATATGTATCTTCCGGGCGAATGTTACACTGTCTAAGTTTTTTTTCAGAAGCCAGAATGTAATGAAATGTCTCCTCATTCATCGCAGCTGCCATTGAAGCACATGATATGCTTTCTGCTTGTCGTCTTCATTTGCTCTTTTGTTTTTGCATACCAGTATATTGAGAAAAGCAATTATTGCCTTGGAGCAAGCAATAATGTCCCTCCGCCCTTCACAACTTCTTACTTAGTTGAAAATTCTGGATACGGCAATGATATAATTCAAAAGCTCGCAGATTACGCAATTCTTAATGAAAAAGTGAGCGATGAAACTGAAAATTTCAAAAAAAGCTATCATGGAACCGGGAACAGGTTTTGGAAAGCGGCAAATTTCGATGGATGTTGTTTACCCAATACAATTATTATTGGTGCTAAAAAAGCAGGAACGCGCGCTCTGATTAATTTTTTAGATATGCATCCAGAAGTTGCTGTAGCGCGCAATGAAGTCCACTTTTTCGACCGAGAAGAGAACTACTCTCTGGGTCTGAAATGGTACGCTAAAAGAGTCAAGCCGAAACAAGGTGCCAAAGCATTAATAGAGAAGTCTCCATTTTACTTTATTGACAAGGAAACGCCGGAAAAAGTAGTTGCGTATAATTCATCTATTAGACTCATTCTATTAGTAAGAGATCCTGTCAATAGAATTCTATCCGATCAAACTCAATTATACTATAATTCAGGTAAGACTACGCCAAATTTGGTCCAGAAATTATATCCTGATAATCGGAGCGATATTGACCAAACAGCTAAAATTTTGCAGCCTAGTCTTTACGCTAAGTACCTGAGACGGTGGATCACAGTTTTTCCTAGAACTCAGATCCATATAGTCGATGGTGACAAACTCACACAAGCCAATCCTTACTACGAAATGAAATTGCTAGAAAAGTTTCTTCGGCTTTCGTCGTTTTACAGTCCCGAAAAGTTTGTGGTCGAAAAAACGAAAGGTTTCTATTGCCCTGTTCAACCAAATGGTACTTTAAAATGTCTCAGCTCATCAAAAGGAAGGCAGCACCTTGAGTTCGATCAAAAACTTTTGAACCAGCTGAAATTATTTTTTGCTCCATTAAATAAAGACTTTGCCAGACTAGTGGGGCAAGACTTTTCTTGGAGCTAGCTCTTTTTTTTAAGTTTTCTAAATAAGTTGTTAGTTAAACAGTAAATTATAATTTATTTTGTAAATGTTTAGAAACGTTTTGATATCCATTTTTTAATTTAGTTTGCAAGGTAAAATTGTTTCAGGGGTTATTGATTGATATAAACCCTCTGACTATAATTTCTTAAACATTCAATTTTTCACTTGTAAGTTACACCAGGCAGAGGAAGTGTTTTGTAATGAAAAACTAGACTGATATCCACACAGTTGTTCCTCCATCTTACAGTCACATGATCTCTTCGAGTCCTGGCCGAAGGCCGAAATTCGAGTCACTTCTTTTCTTCGAGTCCTGAACGGAATTTTTTTTACTAATATTGAAATTGGAAGAAAAAAAATTCAAGAAAACTCGAATTTTCGATGTTTCATTTGTCTGCTCAACTTTGACCGGCAAAGTTGCCACACAACGGATTTCGCTTGTGCTGTAAGCAATTTACATTGCAGCTGCAACTGCAAATTATGTTCATTCTATTTACTGGGGGGAATTGAAAGATTTAAATATATATATATTTTTTTCGATTCTGTTGGTGTCTGCTCAAAGACTGTCGGCTTAGTTGCCACATCCCCGATTTTTCTTGTACTGTTAGCAAATCTCATTGTAGTTGCAAGTGCAAGTGTTGTTCATTGTAGTTTCAGGTGGGACTAAAACTTTTTTTTAAAATCAAAATTTTTTCTTTATTATAATCGTATTTTTTCGGCTCAATTTGTCGGCTTTGTTTCCTCTTCGTAAACTTTGTTTCGTAATTTATGTTTAAATGTTTGGCATGTTTGCCTAGAACTAACTGCTATCGAGACAAACGAAAATTAAATTTTTGTAAACCTTGTTTTCTACAACATTTTTTTGCTACTTCTAATATTTTTTACCCTTGCGATAAGTAAGGGTATTGTAATCGAGTACTAGATTTTTCTCCCGTAAATAACTTTGTTTACAGGAGTTATCTCATTTGGTGTTCTGAATGTATCTTCAGTGGTACCTTATTTCATAATTAATTCAAATTTATTAGCTTTCCCGGTCCTTTAAGCCTGGAGGGAACGAGTACCCCTGAGTTATTATCTGACGAGGACCTGTTCTTTTTTTCAAACGAGATATTTTCTGTTTCAAATAAAATTGTTGCCCAATTATTTCTGTTTATCTTTTTTCGGCTTATTTGCCACATCTTGGAAGCGTTTTTTTGCTGCGAGTTAATTTTTGGCCGTCTTAGTAGCCTTTTTTGCGTTGCTTGTGTGCCTATGTGTTTGTGTAACGTAGTGCTACACACTTACCTTAAGTATTCATATTTGTTATTACCATTAACGGAGAAATTGTATTTGTTTTATGTAAACAAGAGAGCTCTCATTGAGAGAACAGTACAAAATTTGAGAGCATAAAAACTATGAGCTCTGAAAAGTATTGAAATTTTAAAACTCACTTCTAATCAAAGCGTAGTTCAGTCGCTCAAGAAGCGCATCACTGAGTTGAAGCGCATAACTGTCATCACGAAGCGCATCACTGAGTTGAAGGTACTGTGACGTTCAGTCAAGTAAAATACAATACATCTATAAATTATATTCATATTCTAGTCGACAGTCGCCAGCAATGGTATTTTATTTGGTGACATATAGTGGGTGATGTTACCAACATTCTTTCAAGAGCTGACAACTGAGAAGTGAGTGTCCACAACACTCAACACGAGACGACTTCCACAGTCCCACAGACGCTAAATCAAAGATCACGGCAGTATCTTTCCCAAACAGCAAAATTGAAGACTGACTACAGCCAGTGAAAGAAAAACAGCAATGAGAACTCAGGAAACTACCCTCTGGTTCTGATGTGTCGATGACAAATACTAATTTTGCTACAATTCAAGGAAAGGGATTCAGTGATCAAAAAAATTGGTTAAACTTGATCTTTTTCAAATTAAATTGATGAAGGCTTATATTGAAACCAGACAAAATAAATTATTCGTGAGAACCATCCAGTGGTTAAATTCAAATAGGAAAAAGAGAAGAATATTAAAGCCGTAGGAAAAGGTATTTGAAAAGCGAAGAAAGCTTCAAAGTATAACTAATTAGGGCTAACTAACTCTTACTCAGTACTAGCATCACGAGAGACTTATAGAATAACTCAGAGAAGAACCTCAAATTCTTAAAACTGAATTACCGATTGGGCATTGATAATTTCCACTTCAAATTGGTGCTTTGCTTATTGAAATCATAAGCCGAACCATAACTGACAACCATTGGACTGTTCCGAGATGGCCCATGGGCAGATCTCAGTTGAACTTTTCGGGCGACCGAGAAAGAAAACTTCGCCTATTTTGAACAGCCCTTGCAAGGATATATGGAAGTAGCAGCAACAGCAGCGGCATAACAGGCGAATTTTCTGCAATTGCATTTAAGAGACCACGCTCTAAGATTCTACCAAACGTTGCCACCATTGACGAGAGCTGATGTTCCAGCCAGTATAGCAACCTTGTGAGATCATTTCTGCAACCCATTATCCTCGCTTTTTCGTGGTGTCAACTATCTTTAGATCGCTGGGTACAAAACCCCTATTGGTCTTTACAGCGACCCTTAAATTTACCTTTCAATTTTTCTTTGCCGCATGCTTGTTGCAACCGGTCGCCATTGAACTGCGGGCATTTGCGATCTAAACTCAATAATGATTACTTAATCCAAATTAAATGCATATTTCGCTTGAGTTACATTAAGCATCGCAAACACCAGGGGTGGGTAAAAAGTCCTGATTCCCCTCACCCAACTAACATGACTTAACCCCCCCCCCCCACGAGAGTGTAGAACACGGCGGAAAACATACTTTCGCCCCTGACCTCAGCGTGCATGGCCTGACCCAGCTGGAATAATTCAGAAGCTGCATTAACTTTTTCTGTCAGTTGCTTTGCCAGTTTGTAACCAAGAGCGTCCAGAGCGGCTTCTTTCTTTTCAAAGGGAGGTGCAAAACCCTCCTGTTTGTCGTACATTCTTTTGCCATGTAAAATGTTGGAGAATACCTAGAAGCACCGTTGAAAACACTATCGGCACACGGAGGACTCCTCTAAAACTAAACACGATATTTCAGCATCGCCTTTGAAAAAACTTACTCTTTCACGGCACACTCTCGTTCGCCCAAATGCTTTGGTACCATGAGGCCTGCAGACTTCAATTATGCTGACAGAGGCAATGCATCTATCAGGTGCTGACCGCTTGGATCAATGTGGTGAGGCATAAGAGCGTCACAGACCTCATCGGCGAGAGTCGCGCGCATTATGTCAGCAGACATGAGGGAGCCATCTTGGCGAGACAGACTGCGACACCACTTGTCAATACGCTTTACTACCCATGCCTTATCGGACCTAAACCTTTCGAAAGTTTTAGTCCTATCAGATGAATTTTCAAGGGAATTGATTCAATCTTCCCGATGTCGAGAATCCATGAAGTTCAAATCTGAAATTCGACATACTAACTAAACTTTCGAGCATATATTCCTTGATCTCACAATATTCATTGATTCTCAATCGACCTAAATTCGCTCAACTCGTCGACAAAAGTCCTTAAGATCAAGACCGCTTTATACAAAAGTTAGAAAAGATAATAGAAGATTTTACCCGAACGACGAAGTATCTAAAACATTTATTTGTTTGATCTTGTATATTTAAAAAAAATTGAGCAAAGAGTAAACCTCAATGAAAACAAAACTTGTAGCATACCCAGAAGAAACAACGCTATAAGCAGCCACTCCACTTCATCACGACTGTTCTCAGAGGGGGAACATACTGTAGATCCCCTCGACCAGCTTCTGTGTCCCGCAAACTCAACATAACTGCTGCCATTTTCACAGCAATAAACAACGAAACGTCCCCAGGGTAGGGCAAAACACGTTCCAATAGAAAAAAATATGTATTAGCAGTCTAAATTTCCATCAGTTTGAACATATTCTGTTATTTTACCTGCCGGCTTTTTCAAGAAAAAAAACCGAATTTAGACAGCACGATTACAATTCTCGATTACAGCTTCTTAGTTATTCTCCAGCCTCGGAACTTCGATTTATTTTTCTTGTTTTGACTATTATTTGGTCCTCTTCTCATGAGTTGCGGAGGCTTGTGCAGCTATCACCTTGAAAGAAAAACAATTAAAAATGAACATTTTAAGTTGAATATAAATTGAAATCTGATACTAAAGGAAGAATACGAGAAATAGTGTTTCCATTCGAGGCTTAATTGCCGGGAGAGAACATAGTTGTTTATTTTGCTTTTTCCGGGATCCATAGACAAACTTCGGTGCCAGGAGGTTAGAATGTGATTAGGGCCACTGAAATCACCTCGGACAGGCCCGGATTCTAGATTTTGGCTGCGTGAGCAACCAAATCCTGATGCAGCCGACGAGCAGCCCGCGATGTAGGAAAATTGCTCACCCATCCTCGAGCTCTTGTCTGATTGGCCACGCAGTGAGAGACGCGTACTTCTTTTACAACTCCCAAAAACGCCACGACCAGCAATTTCGTGATAGGGAGGCTAAATCACTTCATGCGGGAACATCAAGTAGATCTACTACTCAGATGAACATTTTGATAAATGTTTGACGAAGTTTGACAGCTATAATTGAATGCGATTGTGAGCGATAAAAAATCACCAGGGAGAGCAAAATGTCCCCTACCTTGAATAAACAAGCAAATATTACGTAGCAAGACTTATTAAACAACTTATCAGTCAACGAAATGTCAACCATTAATATTTGTATCAACAACAACATCCTTTATCAAACAAACTAATTTCAACGTATAGTAATTTAGATGGTATACTATCAACCAACGCAATTTGTTCAATAACAACAACTCAACCTCTGAAACCTTGTTCTGAGCGACTCATCGGCAGACATCTCAAGATTTTTTTTGCTTGGAAAGTTGGCAATGTTTCCACTGGCAGCCGAAAACGAACTGAGTCTGAAATTTAAATTTATCTCTAATATTCTCCAATTGAAGGACTTCATTTGAAATTTTCTTCCTTACGAAAGAAAACTAGTCCAAATGAGAGAATTAACCTATCTTGAAGACTTAACTGATAAAACTATCCAATAACCAGTAACGGTAAACGCTAGTAGCAGGAGCGAACCAAAATGGCTCGCTCTAATTGGATTAATGTCAGCCATTTACAGTCAATGATGAAATTTCTTCTGCTCTTAACGCAAATTCATCATTTGCTATTACATATGAAAATGCCCTCACTTCCGGTATCTTATTCCACAAAGAAAGCTTAATTTTGCTTGCAGAGAAGTTTGGCAATGTCCAATTCTTAGTACAACTTTATACAAATTACAAATACAACTTTACTATGAAGACCGAGATGAGATAATTCTTGGAAATTTTTTCGGAACAATGGCGAACACCATCAATCGAGTGCCCATTAGATTTTTCCACAAATTTCAATACGACTTTAGATTCATTCAACATCAATTGCTTGATGGACGTAATTGAAACGAACATAAAATCCGCGAAGGTCTAATCGGAATCCAAACCTCGCGATTCCTTAAAAAAATTCAGCTGAATCGAAACGCACCCTCAGTGCAGCTCCGATAGTAGCTGCACACTAATGGGTAATTCAGGCAGCTGCGGAATAATGGGGATATTTGGATCTTGCCAAGACCAAGCACGAGCGAATGCAAAGAACATTGAGTGATTAGAGGAATTTTCAATGGTGTTAGCGAATGAAAAGTTTTTCGCCATTTCAAACGCAATAGCTGAAATCAAATCTATTCAACAGCAAACGATTGATGACAGGAACAAAAACTGGAAAGTCATCACATCACAGTTTGATGCAATACAAGGAAATTTTCATGTCTTAAGAGATTGCACCCAAACCCTGTTTTTCCAATCAACAGCTTAACTTTAATTATGACACGGCAGCATTGCTTCTTACTGTACTTCACGCAGATATTACAAGCTACAAAGCTGCTCGCTATGCATTCAAGACGAACGAACATCCTCAACTCTATACCAATACTTCAACGACTGCCAATGTTTCTTTTACCAAGAGACTCGCTGCTTGCAGTTATTGATGCTGTCTACAGAAGCTAGAAAGATGAGAAACATGGTCTGACCTTGGCAGTTCCGCCAAGTGACGTATATTCATACTACGATGTGAAATTGCTGCGGGATGTCACAACCATCGACGAAGGATTGCTCTTGAGCTTGACAATACCATACGCATCCAGCCAAACAACCTTTCACATACAGCACAGGTCATACCGATGCCACAAACAGATCCAACCGAAGCAATACGATGGGTCCTCGAAGGCCCCTACTTAGCTTCTTCCAAAGATTCAATGGAGACTACTGTTTTGACAGAAAAATACTCAAAATGTTTGGGAACATCAATATATCGTATCTGCCATCCGACGATGGAAACATTTCTCGGACAGTCTTTGTACCTTGCTACTTTTGTTTACATTCGGAAATAACAGCGTTGACAGTGCGTGAAACAGAAAAGATTCTTCTCCCAACACCGGAGATAGCAACAAACCTTGGATACGGTATATGACTCATAACTGCAGCCAGCTCAGTATTTACTCTCAGGGGTACAGCTCGGACGAAGCGCACACTCCGAAAAGACAGGAACATGCAGTCTGCAATATATACTTAATAACCTTAGACTGTTGAACACAGCTAATAAGTAAGTATATAAAAATCAGACCGGATCATGACAGTTTTGACTAAATATCAGCATTTCGGATATCCGTAGATTTTTCGGACCCCTTGTTACATCTGCTATCAGAGATTCCAGGCATATCAGAGCTACCATATTTCGAGTCGAAAACGGATGCAGGAATTAAGCTACTACGGGATGTAAAAGCGAAATTGAGTGACAGTCCTGAATTGACAAAGGTCGATCAATTGAACCATATCGCAAAACCGATAGCTCATAAGATGAAACTTTTAAAAGCCAGCTAAGTGGACAAAATGGAACACTACGTTCCACTTAAACTGTCTCTGATGCTTACGATTATAGTCTGTGTTGGAAATCTACTGTTACATGCGTTGGTCATGTACTTATACCACTGCTTTGCGATCTTTCGAAGATTGACACCCAAGTTTCTCTATTCACCGGATAGAAAGACCTTACTTAGGCCAGTTCTATCTGTAGCAGCCTCGGACAGGAAGGACTTTCAATAACAGGGATCGAAAAAAAAGGAAAAACGTGGTTCTAACCCAAGCAGAATTGGATGCCTATCAGACACCAAATGAGCAATCAAGACAAACCCAAGTCTGTTCTTCTCTTGGAACAGCGAGCGAGAGGGGATTTTGGACCAGGTTTAAGCAGCTAAACTGTTCGCATATCATTCATATTCATGCACTGACTATGACTGACATAGTGGCCGTCACTTGAGCTTCATGTCCTAATCTTGTTTTCTCTCTTCCATTAACCTCCAATTAGAGCTAAGTAAACGTATAATCCAGAATTAACTGTATTACAGCAAAGTAACCTTTATTTGAAAGTTTCAACCTCAATTATTTTAGATTTTTATCGTTGTTCAATGCAGTGCGTTTTTTAAAAAATTTGTGCGTATTTATAATTTAGACTCTTACTAAAATTAGTCGCGAAGAAAGAATCAACAAGTATGTGTATATAATCTAGTGGTACACACCTAACCTAGGTTTTGATTTGCTGTTACCATAATTGGAGCAATGAGCTTTTCAATGCTACTGAATATAAATGTCAAATTGCTAAATTGTACTTGTTTTATGTAAATTGAGAGAGCAGAACAAAATTAGAGAGAGCCACAGAACTACGAGCTCGGAAAACAATAATTGAAATATGAAAACTCACTTTTGATCAAAGCTTAGTTTAGACTCTCAAGAAGGGTAACCATCAAGTAGCGCATACCTGAGTTGAAAGTACTGTGACGTTCAGCCGAACTCGACATCAGTCAAGTAAAATACAATACATCTTAAAAAAAACAATCTTATTGTAATTGACGATAGCCAGCAACGGTATAATATATGGTGACATATAGTGGGTGATGTTACCAACCTTCTTTGAAGACCTGAAGACTGAGTTGTGTGTCCACAAAACCCAACAAGACGACTTCCACTGTCCCACAGACGCTGAATCATAGGTCACGGCAGTATCTTGGTCAAAAAGCAAACAAGAGGGGCAAAACTGAAGACTGACTACAGCGAGCGAAAGGAAAACAGCAGTGAGAACTCAGGAAATACCCTTAGTTTCTGGTCTGCCGATGACAAATACTGCTTTTGCTACACTTCAAGGAAAGTGATTCAGTGATCAAAAATAGTTAATTTAGCTTAATCTTTCGGTGCTCAAATTAAACTGATACACGCTTATATTGGAACCAGACATAATTAGTTGTTTGTGAGAACCATCCTAACTTATTCAGTGGTTAAATTCAAATTCAAATAGAAAGAAAAGTGGAAAAATTTTAAAGCCGTATGAAAAGGTATTTGAAAAGTGAAGAAAGCTTAAAAGTCTAACTAATTAGAGTTACTTAACTCGTACTAAGGGCACGAGAGACTCATAGAATCATTTAAGGAAGAACCTCAATTTCTTAAAACTCAATTACCCATTGGACATTGATAATTTTCACTTCAAATAGGTGCTTTGTTCGTTGAAATCATTTACAGAACCATAACTGACAATCATTTGCTAAATCAGGTACCAAAAAAAATCATCGGAATGGGTTGAGTGATGTACCATATTGAAGCGCTTTTAGTCGCAATTCGAAGCACATAAAACAATTCCTCAATTTTTCTTTCTAGTGTCGAGAAAAACCGGTTTGGAACTATTGATTTTTCGTTTTAATTCGAGCGAATAAGGCAAGCAAGCAGGCTTACAACAGCTGAATTATGCATAAATTAAGACAATAAAGCTTAGTTTTAAGCAAGTAAAACTAGTTTTTGGAGCTTTTCAGCTTCATTCTGGGAACCAAAAACTTCAAAAAATTGAAAAATTTTCTGCTAAAATTTTGATTTCTAAAAAAAAGTTGTTCTAGTCATTTTTCTACAAAATTTTTTGTCCAGTTTGCCTATACTACTATGAATGACTTTTATGCCTAAGTTTTGTTTTTACGTCAGATCCTTTTTTCACACGAAGCAGAAAAAACTACACTATTTGGAAAAATGTAGTTTTCTAAAGTCTATGTTCGGACTCGGAACATTCTGTGCTCCTTGCACAGCAACCGGCTATCATTGTTTCTTTTGTTGTCACTTGATTAATCTGACGTAAATTTCCCCTGTGTTTGGTAAGCTTTTTAGTGTCTTGTTATAGTTTAAAAACTCTTCGCTTTGTGTTTCTGATTACCGTAGTGGCATGTCAGCTTGTTGTTATGGACATTTTTTATATGCATCTGATGCCATGATAACCTCGGAAAGAACGTTTTTTTTTTCATTTCACTTGCATTTACATTTTGGACATGTTTCAGATTTTGAGATGCTCATAAAGGTACCAGATGCTGACGAAATCAGCTTTGAATCGACAAATAGTGAAAGCTTGAAAGTGAAAGATCTGATTGAGAAACTTTCTAATGATTTGAAAGAAAAAGAATTGATTTTTGTTGCTAACGGTTTTGTTTTGGATCCTACTAAAAGCTTGAAAGAGTATGATATTTCCGACACTTCTATTATTCATTGTCTGGTCAAACACCGTCTATTAGCTGCTCATCACCCCAAGGAGAGGGCAAGATCCAATTTGCCCCCGAACCCAGTCGAAGTTGTTAAATCTTTCCGGGTGCTGATAGACCAGCTGGACATGCCATTTGGAGAGAAGTTGAAAGATATAGTGAATAATGAAGAGACATTCGCGTCGCTGCTCACTACAGTTCCAGGTAGGACCCACAGTAACTCACTGCATGATCGATAATTGACGTGCTTTTCCGTGTTTTTAAGTGTTAACAAAAGTTCCTGGTGTTATGGAGACTTTTTTGTGGACGCTATAAAGCTCCGCAGAATTTTGGTAATCTGATCCTGGAAAAGAGATTATTCGAATTCAGTCCTCATTTTTTAAAACTCTTGTTTCACTGTTCTCATTAGCTTTTTTGATTCGTTGCTTCTGGTTTAGTAGTTTTAGTGCATGATGTTTTTCTGCATGCCGTCGTATCAAGCTTTTCAAAATATCGATACAATATGGAGAATTGTTTTTTAGCGTAATGTTTGATATGAGACCAAGCTTTTAATTTAAAATAAGATTTGTTAAATTGAACTATAGAAAGGCATCGTAAAATGAAATTGAAAAACATGAATCTGAATTCATGGAGCAACTAGAAATAAGTGTTGATAATTAATATAGAACTAGTTAATAGTTTCTCTGTTCAGTCGGAATCTGGTATGAAAGGGCTTTGGAATGATTACCGTTGCGATAAGTAAGGATTTCGCATTTGGGTAAAAGACTTTTTTTCTCGTAAATAACAACGGATTCATCTGGACTCATTCATCTAATGGGTTTTTCTGTTGCGACAGACATTTCGAGAATGTTAGCTCTTTAAATATCCTGCCAAATCGAATCTCGTTTTTTATATTGGTTGTAATTTTAACCAACTTGATTTGCTAAAATTTCCTTTTTAAATTTTTTGGCTCAATAGGTTTTGATTTCTGGGGCGAAGGGGGACTTCTTTTTAGTTAAAATTTTTTTATGGCATGAGTTTTTATGACATGAAGCGTTTCTGCTCAGGTTTTTTGGCTTTGTTACCGCTTGATAATTATAAATTCAAATTCCAGCAACCATCTAGCGTAGAGGTAATACAACAGCTTGAGACGGCAAAGGTGTTATAGTTCGAATCCAGCCGGACAATTTTTTTGCACACAAGAGTTTTGCACTTTTTCGTGACTATCGTCTGTCTGTTTATTTTGGTCGGCTTAGTTTCTAGAAAATTCAGCTTCTTTCTAGCATACTGAGAGATCCATGTATAATTTTTAATGCTGCAGGTATTTTTGTTCCAGATATTTTAGGCTTTTGATTAAAATTTTATAGTTTTTATTTACGAAAACTACTTTCCAGCCATTTGACCATCGGCATAGTAATGAACTTTTTTAACTCTTGATGTTTCAGGTCTGAGGGAAGACCAGGAGAGTGTGAAGATGTTGAAAGATCTCTCAATTCTTAAGCACTATGTGAAGAAGGACAACATCGGGGCCATTAAAGAGAGACACCCTGCTCTGTTGTGTGCAATCAGTCAGATCAACAAACAACTCACGTCCAGTATAGACACCCTCACTGCAATGCAGAACCTCCTCAGGTAATAACTCGTAACTCCAGTTGAACATGATCCAATGGTCAATAACGAGAAGGACACCAAATTGCATTCAAACCACACTCAATATTAGAGTTGTCGTATATTATATTATCAGTGGTTTTAAGTTCTGAGAGAGTTCAGACCATCATATGTTCCGTTGTTAGAACTAGTACGCATTAGGCCATATGTTTCTTCCAATCAGAATTTAGAAGCCTGTTCTATTTTTTTTTTACTTCGTGTTCATTATTTTAGTCGAGCGCACGATGAAGATATGAGCGAAGACGACGACTTTTACGGCGGCGAAGACGATTTCATGGACACCGATGACTTGGACACGCTGACGTTTCCGCCTGCTCCCAGCGACGCCCCCGGACAAGCAGCTGCAGCATCTAGCAACACAAGCCAACCGAGACTAACGGCTGACTTTTTCTCACAGGCTCTGGACAATGTCCTGGCTGGCCGATCTGGAGGCGTAGGTTCCGATGCTGGATTTACAAACCCATTGGCTCTACTGGGTAAATGGTTACATAAGTTAGATAACGCAGGTTTTATTCAATTTTTGAAAACAGATTAGGATAATTTGATCATTTTACTACTTAAACTCCTTGATACCTTTAAACTACTTTCTAATTGAGTGATTGCGTACAAGTCAAATAGTTCCACGTTTTTTTTTTACTTTTAAAAGTTCGAATTACAACTGATAGTGTTCTTACTATTGTGATAAGCAGGTGTTATCAAATCGGAATATATTTTGCCAGGCAAACAATTAGTTTAAGACAACCATTGAATCAGTTCGAATGTTTACTTCATTGTCAATTCAAAATACACATCTTCGGCACTCTTGGCATAGCGTAACGTATATGCCCGGGAAATCAAAAGTCCAGAGTTCGAATTCGGTCACCACCTGATTCTTCCTGCAAACTCAAAAAAGTTATTACACTCACAAGCAGCGTAGTGTATTGGTATGAACCTTCTTTTTTTAACGTAACTCAAAAATAAAAAATGTTCGCTTATTGGGTGGCACTTTTGCTATAGTTACGATCTGTATAATTGAAAATATCATAGCAACTATTCTCTATTTTATTTGTGGATAGTGTTTGCGATATATAAAGCGTCCGTTGGTGAGTGGTTAGTGCGTGAGACGCGTATTCTCTAGGTAGCCGTAGGTTGCAGATCGAATACGAGACGTCGTCGAATTTTTAGTTATTCGAGACTGATTTCTACTTCTCTTTGCAAATTATAGAGCTGCTTTTTGTGTTCTCGCTAGTGTTGGCGAAGCGAAGCTTCGCCTCTGTAAAAAGATATTTCAGCCTATCGTTTGTGTGCTTAATTTTTGCCGACATAGCTGCTACAGCGCCAGCGCGGATTTATCTTGTGATTCATGCAATTCTTATTTTAATTAATTCATTTTAAACTATTCGTCTAATTTGTAAATTTACCAGGACGGATTTTATATGATTTTTTTAAAATGTTTTTTCGGATTGTTTGGTTTTGGCTTTTAGTATATCGGCCTAATCGCCTAATCTTGCGTTGTTTGATAGAAAATAGATTTTGTAGATATATTTATCTTTTGTACTTTCTGTCGGGGTGGGGGGGGGGGGGCGGAATTTTGTTTTCGCAATTTTGTTTTCGGCTAAATTGGCGTCCATCCAAGTATTGTCGGCTTAGTGGCCGATCGACAGCAATTTTGTTTTCGACTCAATTGGCGTCCATCTAAGTATTGTCGGCTTAGTTGCCGATCGATAAGCTTTTCTGAATGCTTGTTTCAACGCCGGAGATTGTATTCCTCGGCATGTTTTCCTGAAGTTAAACTTCATTCGAGACAAGCTTTTGAATTTTTTGTAGTTGTTGTTATCGACACTTTTTCATCGACTTAGTTCCTTTCGTTTCCTTTTTTTCCTACTAGCTTCCAATGCTATGTTAGTGGTGTCGCAGGTGATGCGAATTTATGCGTCGCATCTGGGCTTCTATTTCTTCTACTTGTCAACGAGTTGCTTTCTGCAGCAACTGGAGCACATTGGTTTGGAAAATGGAGTTGAAACAAAAAAAATTTAAATAGTCATTATTTTCAGTGAATGCAGTTCAAACAGATGATTTTTTTTGTTGTTATGATTTGTTTTTTCGTTTTTTTTCCTGGGAAAGTTCTAAAACAACTTTAGGCTCAAAAGGAAGGCAAACTCCACTCTCGAAGACCAAAGTGTAAAAATCACGAAACCTAGGTTCGAAAGTGGATATAAATTTGTAGATTTCTCAGCGGATAAAACTTTACCTTTTGATCAACTTTTCTCAAATTGAGATAATTTAATCAAAAAGTATCAGTCATAACCTGTTCTCGAAGTTCAAAGAGCTTATGGTCATTTTTTCTACTGGGTTTGAATTTCTCAAATATGTCAGTTTTTTTGTTACCTTGCGTTCATTGGCTCTCTTTCATTTTTCTGTTGGCTATCTTCATCTGTGCAAATCAATGAATTAGGTTTTTTTTGTGATTTCAGGGGCAGGTCTAGGATTTTCTCGAAGTGTGACGGATTTTTACTCTTTTTTTTCCACCTAAGTCGCGAATATTAGTGTTCATTTTGAAAGTGTTCATTTTGATCAATAACCAGCTATTAAGTACAGCCAATGTTAAGGATATTAACACAGGCTATTATATTACAAATAGCACTTTAGCTTCAAGGTATCATGGATCTGTAGCGTAGAAGTAGGGAAGGAGACCCGCAACAAAATAACAGGGTTCGAACCTTGGCAGGGTCGGATGTTTTCTATGAACTTTTTCATAAACTAGTTCGAATGCGTCCGCTCTATAAATTGAGGCATGTTAGTTGGTAATTTTTTTGTTTCAAATTGACTTCTAATGCGTCATAATTGGCGTGCGTCACTTACGAGATTTTGTAGACTCCGTTTGAATTTTTTTTGACAGTTTTAGATAGATCAATTGGTGTCCCAAAACAATACACAAGTCTTGTATTGCTAAAATTGTCGCCATCGCAGAAGTTGCCTTTTGGATGTCCTTTTTGGAAAACTTAGGCCAAAAATTTGCCGTGAACTCTCCCTCACACTAGTGAATAATTTCGCCAATTGCACCTTGAATGACTTTAAGGGGCTCCTCATTTTCTATCTGTAGGCGGGCAAACTAATCAGCAGTCGTCATCTCAGCCTCCTACTGCTGCTACGATGCCTTTTGAACCGAGTGAAGAGCAAGTGAAACAATTGGTGGAATTGGGGATAGCAGAGGACAGGGCCAGAGCGGCACTTATAAGGACTGCTGGCAACTTCGATCGAGCCTTAGACTTGCTGTTCAGTGGAGAAATTTAACGGACTAGATAAACTGCAATAAACATAAGTTTTTTGCAAGAAAGAAGACAACTAAAAATTCCGCTCTTTTTGATTTTCGGCTATATGATCTTTTCAAATGAATGATGGCGAACTTCAACGAAAATGGGTTAACTTTCGCCGCGCGGAGGGAAATATTCCCCAAGAGCAAACGAAGACTTCATAAATTAGTTGTTGTAGTGATATATTATTAATTAAAGTTATATATAACTTATTTTGTTTAACTTTTCTTACCTCGATTATAGCATGTGGGCTGGTTGTTATCTAGTATTTATGCTGAGATGTAGGTATCAAACGATGAAGACAATCAGGAGAAAAAAATTCTGTCAAAAATATCCAATTTTGAAACCGATCAATGAGGTCAAATAAGTTATTCGAAACATTATTAGTGACGTTATTAGGACTTAATAACATTTCATAAATCTTAATTTTTTTGTTCGGCTTTGGATATTTTCCTTTTTTCGGCCTAATAGGTTTCGGCCTATAATATAGCGGCTTAGTGGCCTAATATTGCATCGTCTCTTAGTGTTACTTTGTTTAATGATTAATTCAATTTTTTTTACCGTTCTCGGCTCAGTTAGCCTGGAGGTAACGAATGTATGGGTTCGAATCTGACGTGGAGCTTTTTTCAATCGGGATATATTCTGTTTCAAATAAAATGGTCGGGTAAATTTTTGTCTGCTTATCTTTTTTCGGCATAGTTGCCACATCTTGGAAGCATTATTTTGCTGCGCGCATTTTCTTAATGTTTCTTTGTGCTCGAATTACTCCTGCAATTGTATTTTTACTTACCTGTACTTCGTTTTTCTTTTTTTTGTTTCGACTAAAAACTTAATACGCACAATTTATTTCAACCGATTTTTTTTCGTGGCCTAATTTTGGGTCGTTTGGTACCATTTGGTATCTTGATTCATAATGAATTCAATGTTTTAAGCGTTTCCGGCGCACTTAGGCTGGAGGTAACGCATACGCCTGGGCTGGCAAAGGTCTGGTTTGAATCTGACGAGGACATTTTTTTTTCAAACGGGAGTTAATCCGTTTCAAAAAAAATTGTCGGCTTATTATTGGTCTGCTTATCTTTTGTCGGCTTATTTGCAACATCTTAATTTTTTTGTCGTGTGCAGCTTTCATTGTAGTTTCTTTCTATGTTTTCATTTACTCCTGCAATTTGTAATTCTACTAACTTTGATTTCGTATATTTTCCTTTTTTTCGCTTAAAAATTTTTTAGCCTAAATTATTTCATCTGATTTTTATCAGCTTACCATCCTAATTTTAGGTCGCTCGAGGGAACCATAATACGAATACTTTCCTCCGGATCGCACAAAACATTAAAAATTTCAGAATATAGCTTATAGTTCAAAGTTTTTCATGATAACTTTTTTATTTTCGCTTGATAATTGTTTTTGAATGTTCATTAAACGCCGTCGAAGTTCAAAGAGCTTATGGTCATTTTTTCTACTGGGTTTGAATTTCTCAAATATGTCAGTTTTTTTGTTACCTTGCGTTCATTGGCTCTTTCATTTTTCTGTTGGCTATCTTCATCTGTGCAAATCAATGAATTAGGTTTTTTTTGTGATTTCAGGGGCAGGTCTAGGATTTTCTCGAAGTGTGACGGATTTTTACTCTTTTTTTTCCACCTAAGTCGCGAATATTAGTGTTCATTTTGAAAGTGTTCATTTTGATCAATAACCAGCTATTAAGTACAGCCAATGTTAAGGATATTAACACAGGCTATTATATTACAAATAGCACTTTAGCTTCAAGGTATCATGGATCTGTAGCGTAGAAGTAGGGAAGGAGACCCGCAACAAAATAACAGGGTTCGAACCTTGGCAGGTTCGGATGTTTTCTATGAACTTTTTCATAAACTAGTTCGAATGCGTCCGCTCTATAAATTGAGGCATGTTAGTTGGTAATTTTTTTGTTTCAAATTGACTTCTAATGCGTCATAATTGGCGTGCGTCACTTACGAGATTTTGTAGACTCCGTTTGAATTTTTTTTGACAGTTTTAGATAGATCAATTGGTGTCCCAAAACAATACACAAGTCTTGTATTGCTAAAATTGTCGCCATCGCAGAAGTTGCCTTTTGGATGTCCTTTTTGGAAAACTTAGGCCAAAAATTTGCCGTGAACTCTCCCTCACACTAGTGAATAATTTCGCCAATTGCACCTTGAATGACTTTAAGGGGCTCCTCATTTTCTATCTGTAGGCGGGCAAACTAATCAGCAGTCGTCATCTCAGCCTCCTACTGCTGCTACGATGCCTTTTGAACCGAGTGAAGAGCAAGTGAAACAATTGGTGGAATTGGGGATAGCAGAGGACAGGGCCAGAGCGGCACTTATAAGGACTGCTGGCAACTTCGATCGAGCCTTAGACTTGCTGTTCAGTGGAGAAATTTAACGGACTAGATAAACTGCAATAAACATAAGTTTTTTGCAAGAAAGAAGACAACTAAAAATTCCGCTCTTTTTGATTTTCGGCTATATGATCTTTTCAAATGAATGATGGCGAACTTCAACGAAAATGGGTTAACTTTCGCCGCGCGGAGGGAAATATTCCCCAAGAGCAAACGAAGACTTCATAAATTAGTTGTTGTAGTGATATATTATTAATTAAAGTTATATATAACTTATTTTGTTTAACTTTTCTTACCTCGATTATAGCATGTGGGCTGGTTGTTATCTAGTATTTATGCTGAGATGTAGGTATCAAACGATGAAGACAATCAGGAGAAAAAAATTCTGTCAAAAATATCAAATTTTGAAACCGATCAATGAGGTCAAATAAGTTATTCGAAACATTATTAGTGACGTTATTAGGACTTAATAACATTTCATAAATCTTAATTTTTTTGTTCGGCTTTGGATATTTTCCTTTTTTCGGCCTAATAGGTTTCGGCCTATAATATAGCGGCTTAGTGGCCTAATATTGCATCGTCTCTTAGTGTTACTTTGTTTAATGATTAATTCAATTTTTTTTACCGTTCTCGGCTCAGTTAGCCTGGAGGTAACGAATGTATGGGTTCGAATCTGACGTGGAGCTTTTTTCAATCGGGATATATTCTGTTTCAAATAAAATGGTCGGGTAAATTTTTGTCTGCTTATCTTTTTTCGGCATAGTTGCCACATCTTGGAAGCATTATTTTGCTGCGCGCATTTTCTTAATGTTTCTTTGTGTTCGAATTACTCCTGCAATTGTATTTTTACTTACCTGTACTTCGTTTTTCTTTTTTTTGTTTCGACTAAAAACTTAATACGCACAATTTATTTCAACCGATTTTTTTTCGTGGCCTAATTTTGGGTCGTTTGGTACCATTTGGTATCTTGATTCATAATGAATTCAATGTTTTAAGCGTTTCCGGCGCACTTAGGCTGGAGGTAACGCATACGCCTGGGCTGGCAAAGGTCTGGTTTGAATCTGACGAGGACATTTTTTTGTCAAACGGGAGTTAATCCGTTTCAAAAAAAATTGTCGGCTTATTATTGGTCTGCTTATCTTTTGTCGGCTTATTTGCAACATCTTAATTTTTTTGTCGTGTGCAGCTTTCATTGTAGTTTCTTTCTATGTTTTCATTTACTCCTGCAATTTGTAATTCTACTAACTTTGATTTCGTATATTTTCCTTTTTTTCGCATAAAAATTTTTTAGCCTAAATTATTTCATCTGATTTTTATCAGCTTACCATCCTAATTTTAGGTCGCTCGAGGGAACCATAATACGAATACTTTCCTCCGGATCGCACAAAACATTAAAAATTTCAGAATATAGCTTATAGTTCAAAGTTTTTCATGATAACTTTTTTATTTTCGCTTGATAATTGTTTTTGAATGTTCATTAAACGCCGTCGAATGTGTCTCCCGACGTGTTTTCCGCAAATAGAACATCATTCCAGACAAAGAGAAAGTTTTTTAATTGTGGTTTCTTCGAAAAAATTTTCCGTTCTCTGGTCTTAGTGGCTCCCCTTTTCTTCTCTATCTGCTAGCTTGTAATGCTATTTTTGTGGTATCGCAAGTGATTATGCTGTTTTGTTCCGGTGCTGATTTTTCATTTTAGTGTTCTGGCATGTTGTTTTTTTTTCACCACAGCCACCGTTCATTTTGATAGATCTAGTTGTATAGCAAGTGGTGCGAAGCTCAGCTGCGCCTCTGTGTACACTTTTCCTATTATCTGTTGGCTGTGTTATTGAGCTACTTTGTACGCCAGATCTACCTCGGAGCTAACTCTGGATACTTCTAATAACGCAAAAAATATATTCCTTTCTTTGGTCGGCAAAATAGGTTTCATGAAATTGTACTTACGGAGTCAGTGAAGAGATCGAATTGTTTTTCGGCGGTGAAAAAATTCTTCAAGCTATTTTTGAGAGCCACAGGAATCATAACTGAGACGAAAACAGCGGAAAAACTAATGTTATTGTAGTTTATTAACGAGTATACCATGTTTTTTTTAAAATTTTTTCTTCAAAAATTGAACTTTCGCTGAAACGTTTCAACAAGAGGGTATCCCGCAGGTTGGGTCTGCACCCAACTTTTCTGTACCCTCCACATAGCCAGGCAGTTTCAGTGAATTTGAAGCCGGAAAAATATCATCGGGTAAACTGTAGGATCCAGTAGGGGTACTTCGACACAGTGGAATCAGCAAGTCCGCGACGTCTTGCCAATCTTTGTAGTCCATAGTTTCGAAACTTGTATCCAGTTGCGAGTAAGCTTTCATGAAATCATGCCAGTCGTCGAAGGATGGCCAATAAGAACTGTTAAAGAAAGCAGCAAAATTCATAAAATAGCCCCATCGAAATTCGTAAAATGGAATGCTGGGCGGCGGGCTTGATTCCAAGTTGTGGACGACGGTTGATTGATTAGTTTCACAGACTCGATCGTAGCATCTTTCGCAATACTTATCATCATCCTTGTCGCAGTTGGGGAAGCCATCGGGAGCATCTTTGACCTTGCGAGAATAACTAGACAACGCTCGCCAAGGATCGTCGGCAAACGCTTTGTTGCTTTTAGTGAATTCAAAATATATCGGAAGTTCTTGTGCTGAAATAGGCTGTGGGAGAGCATTGAAGTCGGCCTTTGGACGCTCGCCCAAGTAGAGGAGGTTTTGAGCCTCCGCGACTTGGAAGAAGTCTTGCCAAGAGAGGTTGCGATAGTCACAGATGATATTGAAGGTGACTGAAACTTCTACAAACCCACTGTAGTCTAGAGCACTAAGTGTGTGGTGTTTGTCGACTATAGTAATGAGAGGCGACCCAACTATTCCTGAAAAAAATTTACTTTTCCAGCAAATGTCGCAAGCAACTCAAAATAGTAGTCACTCTGAGTAGAATAATTTCGGGAGTTGTTATTTTATGTGCTCGATCAATTCACGAGCAAGTTGCGTGTCATCATTTGCGTTAAAATCTGGCCAAAAAATGGAGTAACAATGTACAATTTTTGAAGCCAAACTTCGATATGTTTGTATACCTGGATTGATCACCCCGATGATAGGATTTTCGTCCATGTAGTCCTGTGCATCGTCTTCTGATCCGAAGTGATTGTCGACCTTTCTTCGCACCCAGGCATAGCCGACCACAGCTTGTCCCGGCCTCACCAGAGGCTTCAGATTCTTCCACTTGTTGCTACACTCTCCAGTAAATTCATTAGTGTCACTGAGAACATTGTCGCAGTCTATCAGACTTTCGATGAAACTCAGTTTAAATATCACCAAATAGCTGAGAGAATAAAGTAGCTGACTCATTTTGAAGTGACACTTTTGGTAAATTATATTTGTGGAATAATCAGTTCAAGGAGTATCACCTTGATATTATTTGTTTTGCTGTTGACAAAAAGTATCGGATGTTTATCGTACGATTGCATGGTTAAAAACAATAGAGCAATACAGATTTTATGCAAAGCAGATTTTGAAACAAGAATTTTCCGACCAATCTATCAACTGATTTGTACACTTGCGATTAGCAAGCGTTATCAAATCGGAATATAGACTTTTCGGGATAACAACTAGTTTAAAAAATCACTGATTCATTTGTGCAGCATTCAGTTCTGCAGGAAACATGCTCAATTTCTTGAAAATCCAAACTTAACTACTGGGTACTAAAATTAGTAGGCGGCTAAGGTATCAAAAAATGATCTGCCTATGGGTTGTCTGCTTATGGTTTGTTAGCTTAGTTGCCACAATTTTTTTAATCTTTCTTGGCTCTTTTCCAGTTCCCACCTTGGTTTTTCTGAAATCCAATAGTTAAAAGTCTATTTAAACTTACTTTCCATGTAATAAACTGCATCAAATCGTGTCAGCGTGAACAGGTGAACAGATTTTTACTACATGCAAAATGCCGTGTGAACATGTTTTGAACAGCTTAATTTTGTAATTTCACGAGGGGGATGGGAAACTGGAAAAGAGCCCCTTTCTTGTGTTGTATGATTTTTTTTGTAAGTTATTTTGAGTCTTTGATTTAATTTTTTTTTGCTAGATTAAATGTCTTGAAATCGGGAACTAGACTTTTTTCCCGTAAAAATTTTTTTCATACACATTTGTAATTGTAATTGATGTTGCTTTATTATCGAACCTTAGCAACTTCCAGGACTTATCGCACTTGGTCTGGAAGTCCTAATGTCAGGTTCTAATGTTGGTTAACCTAATGTCAGGGGTTCGAGTCCCGGCCGGAGCTCCGTTTTTTTTTCAGTGTTTGACATTGAATTTTTTTTCCTGGAATAATTGATTAGTCAATTTTAGTTTGTCGGCTTATATTTTGTCCGCTTAGTTGATATCGCACAATTTTTTTTCGGCTGTAATCAGTTTTCATTGTAGTCTCAAGTGTCGTTGATCAACTCATGTAGTTTTTATAATTACTATACCTGACACTGGTATTATTTCCGTTTTTTTTTCGATTAAAAGTTTTATTTCGCCTGAATGCTTTCGGCTCTTGTTTTGACAGTTTAGTGAGCTTATTCTCCTTCGATATAAGGATGAAAAATGATTGATCATTTTTTTGATAAATCAGGTCTGCTGGTAGTATAACAGGTAAAAGTCGCTCAAAATTTTGTTATGACAACAATTTCGTTGGTCATATTTTTTTCGGTTTAGTTGACGTCTAACCATGTGTTTTTGGCTCAGTGATTGCTTTTAAACTACTTAAAGCTTGCATAATGACAGTGGTTATGTTTCTCGTCTGCTTTTCTGAGATTGGTTTTTCGTATTTCCAAAAAACTGGAATTTTTTTATGACAATCATTCCTTTAGTATTTTTGTCTTCGGATCAATTGGTCTAACCACGCCTGGTTGGCTTAGTGGACGCTCGGAAAATACTAAATGCTTGTTTAAAGCTAGTGCTTGTGTTTTTCGTCTGTTTTTCTTTGATTGAATTTTTTCAAGTTTTTTTTTCCGCGCTTTCATTGTATGTGGTACGCTTTCATTGTATCGCAAGTGATGCGAATCTCCGGTTCTCCTCTGTGTACATAGTATTGGGAAAAAAGACAAAAGTTTGTTGAAGAATGCGGTTAGAGTTTCGCTAAAAAAACGAGATGGTTCATATTTAATGATCCCAAATTTACTACGCAATGAAAAACTGGAATTGATAAGTTCAACCTCACTATTTGAAAATTATCATTAGATCTGTACGCACATTAAATATTGGTATTATTGGTTTTAAATATTGGTTTTAACATTCCCTTTTCTTGAGGGAATGTTAAAAACCTTTTTTTTTTGGTCGACCAAATGGATTTTTCGAGATCCCTCGAAATGCTACAAAAACTCGAAATGCCATAGTTTTCTATAGTGTATTTATGCTTGAACAATCTTTTTTTATTTCGCAGAAAGTTAGGGCTCACTATTGAAAGAGTCGTTTTTAAGTTTTGATTGTTAGCAGGATCAGTTGCACGTTATTCGTAAGTCTGCATTCGTTTTTTGCCATAAAATTTGTTTTTAAAAAATTAGACGATGATTTTCGATACTAAACGAACTTAAAAGTGTCCTCTATTTAAGAAAAAATCTTTTATTTTTGTTTGAAAATACATAAAATGAAGCAATCGAACCAAAAGGATCAAAAGTTCCTTCAAAAGCTTTTCTTTTTAATCTGTTCCTAATTTTCTTTCGGGCAATAGGGCTCCTTTTATTTTGATATTTAGGTGTGTCTCCTTAAACTGCTTTGGAAAGTTACCGCAACCTGGGCTGACTATGTAGAACATCTTTCAACATAAAACTCAGAAACTTTTTGTCTTCTTTTTGGCCTAAGTTAACAGTGTTGTTTTTATTAAAAACATTGCCAGGAAACACACAGTGGCGACGGGTGACATTTTTCAGGTAACAAAAATAAACAAAATCAGGAAAAAATTTGTCCAGAATTGATGTTCGACTAAAATTGCTAATTGAATTTACTCTTTTCATTACTCAGTCCTTAACATATCACAGCAAAAGGTTCACTGCTCTTGTTAGGTTATTTATGCTTGTTTTCGTAACAAATAAAAGTTCTTTGTACTGTTTTTCTCCATCTTTTGAGATCTTCTTTTACCTGTTACTGTTTAATAAAGCGCCCTCTTTTTTTTTAAATCTTCAGTGGCTCCTGTGATAATTTTAAGAAGATTCTTCCGCATATTTTTTCTGCTGCATTTAATTTTCCCTGGCATTAAAATTTCCCCTGGCATTAAAATTTACCCTGGCATTAAAATTTACCGTGGCAAATGCTTGGCTGGTGAGTTGAACTTTCTCTCTTCGCTTCTCTTTTTATTTTTTTTTTACTTTTTTACCTAGTAAAGGTTTCAAATTTATTTATAAATACTGGAAATTGTTTTATTTTACGGGTAAAAACAGTTCTAAAGTTTTTCATGAACTGAGGCGACACTTCGACAATTAAACTTACCAGTGACGATGAGATGAGAGAAAAAACTCATTCGTGATAAGTTTTGTTTGAAAGAACTGCCATTAGAAAATAATGAAATTTTTTCACAAGGAGTGTTTGGTGCACATGGAATGATCAAAAATTTAAGCCATAATAAAGTTTCTGCAGTTAATGATTGATGCTAGTTTTAGTGAAATTTGCTTCTAATGTTTTAGCATAAAAAAATGAAAACAAGAAACGAAAATGCAAACTACGATATATTTGGGAATTGTCGCCTGCTCCATGCTGTTTGTTTCCTCAGTGGCAAGTGAAAATGTGGAAACCCAAAAGCGATACCTAGTGAAAAGTTTCATGCGAGCGCATCAAGGTAAATCGGGTCCTTCTTTTTTTATCATCTCCCAATCATTGAGATTTCGGTCTATTTACTACTTGCGACCACCTGTTTCATTTTTTCAGTTTTTTGACTTTTGGGCTAAGAGCAGAACTCAACATTGACCTTTCATTTGCATGTAAGCTTGCTCAGCCTGTGTCGCTGTACATTTTTGACCAGTTTCACTCATATTTAGTTTAGAATATATAATACTAATCGCTGCCAATTATCAACACTGTTCAAATGGTAGTTTTTAAGCCTAATGACATCTTTACTAGGCTCAAAACGTTAGTGAACTTTGTTCGAAAAAGAAAACCTTTGAAAGAAATACTACTAGCGCGGAAGTTCCCATTCTATGATATATAGTTTCAATTTGCACCTTAAAAGTGTTGAATTGAAAGAAGTATCATTTAATTCGGAATTGCTATTTTTTAAAGTAAAAGATCATTCTTCAATGAAGACTCTTTAGACAACGATGATCACCGAGGGTTCTTTGCCGATCAACCAGTTGGCAAACGACGTTTCTTTACCGACCAGGCGACGCAAAAGAGGGGATATTTCACCGATCAAGTTACAGCTGGAAAAAGAGGATTCCTCTTGGACCAATCAACCGGAAAAAAAATTATAAACTTGAAAAAAAGGACTGCGCTTTCAAACAATTTAATTAAAGCTTAGATATTTGTTGAATACGTTTTTATAATGTAACTAAAATACACATTCCAGCTTCATTGTTTGTATTAATTAATAAAACATTAAAAAACATCAAATTAATTGAAAAAAGTAAAGTTTTTTTCAAGACAAGTGAAAACGCAACATTTTTAATAGTTAACTCAGTAAGAGTTAATGAGATATATATTACAAAATAGCATTTAATCTAAGCTTGTTGTTCCGACTTTCGATACGAAAGTAACGGAATATTTGTGCTCGGGGTGGGTTTTTTTTCTTCAGACAAATTTCGACTTTTTAATGTCATTCAAAAAGTATTGTTGTCCTGAGCTTAAAATTGAAAAAATATTTGACCTGTGATCATTTTTCGTAAGGTTATGAGGGTTTAAAGATTGCCATTTTGACCAATTTGGGGCAATTAACGCGCGGATATAATTCGCGCTATCAACGCGTAACCGGAGATTTATTCCGTCTTAGAAATCGTTCCAAATTGGTGAGCGAAGCTTATTAGCCATAATTGATTTGTTACAAGAAACGAAATCTACCCTTTCGTACTTCATATGGCGTGCTCCATAAACCTTAAAAAGCAGTCGGAACATTCAGGGCTTCGCCCTGATACAAGCAGTCTTGTTTTATTTTTAAAAGCAAGGATTTCGTGCTTTAAACCTCTTGTTGCGGTCGCGTTATTTTCTCCAGAACAATATCGAGTTTTTATGTTAAACTATTTGACAAAACTTCTTCCAGTTTTAAAAATTTTGAGTTGAAAATTAAATATTTATCTGACATTTGGTCTTTTTCAGGAAAATTATGAAGGTTTAGAAATGAAACTACGTTGACTAATCTGAGATAATTTTTATCGATTTTTTCCAGTTAACGCGTAGTATGTGCATTAAATAAAATCATTTCAAACTGAATTGATGCAATTTACTTGATTTAACAACAAAAACATTCAAAGTATTTATAAACATTCAAGAACGTTGTATAATTTCAATTAAAGTACAGTAAAATCGTAAAAGGCAGTTTGAGCATACAATTTGCCCTGATACGAATAGTTTTTTTTAGCTACTCGATTAAAGTTTAGCTTCTTTCCCTCTCTTTTATCGCCGCAGAGGTTGTTCTTCTGATTTCCTCAATCTTAAATTCATCTTGCAAGCATTGAAACTTAAAATGATAGACAATATTGTGCTCGGACTCAGATTTCTGACGATTTTTATTTGGACCAAACGATCATCGATGTACACAGCGAAAAGATTTAACTACAATCGTTACATTTATAATTAATTGAGAAAATATTATGCATTTCACAAACTTCACACAAATTAAGTGTCAGTTTAAAACAAACAAAACTGCTCGTATCAGGGCAAAGCCCTGAGTACTCCGACTGCCTTTTAAGGTTTATGGAGCAGTAATAACATGATCAACATAAAAAAATGAAATGAAATGAAATAGAATGAAAATTTTTTTTCTTCTAAAATTTGAAACTTTTCCTATAAAAATCATCACCCCACACGCCAGATAAACTACAAAACAATAGAT